TAACAGAGCCCCCCGGCGATCTCCGGCGATGTGTCGGCTAATTCAATCCCGGATACTAACAGAAGAATCATTCATTGTTTCCCCACCCCGGTTCGAAACAAATTTGAGTGAATTCTATTTCTTCTGTCTTAGAAAATCTAGTGACATTTCTTCTTTTATTGTCCCTCTTATCATACCTCAGGTCTCGTTTAATCCAAAATAAAAAAAAGCAAAAAACAATTCTTTATTCGCTCCTTTTCTGTGAATTCACAATTTCTCTTTCTGGTATTATATATTTTGTCTTTCAACTGTTTTACTATTTCTTGCTCATCACTCTTGTCATAAAATAATTCCTATCATCAAACGATCTCCTCCCGATTCTCCTCCAATTTTATTCACATTTTAGTTCTTTTTCATATTCTCTCTGTTGTTGTTATTTTAACTTTCGAATGAATATATTCAATTCGTTTATTACTTTATTCACATCATTATTGTCTCAAATAGCACTTCCTAGCCATCACCGCCTGCGTCAACGCCTCCACATTCTCAAACAACGTTGATATCTTGCCATCGAGTTGCGATTGTCGTTGACGGACCTTCTGAAGGCGATCTTCGGTTTCGTTGAAAGCGCGACGGGCGGTGAAGTAGTCGTCTTCGTCCTCCATTTGCATTCGAAGTTTCCAGCGGGTTTTGCGGAACCTGAGTTTTAAAAAACGAGTTTTTCGATAATTTTTCAGTCTAGTTTTAGTGTGCGTTGCGGCCGAAATTGGTTTGTGGGCGGAGCTTATATCCTTAAAGGAGCATGTATTTTCGTAGTTATTTCCTGGCTTTTTTTTTATTTTTCGATGAATTTCAACTATATAACTTTCGATGATTTTCATTGTTTTTTGTGCGATTTCTCGTATTTTTCTTTTTTAAAAAAGTTCAAAATCGATGCAATTATCATTGTTTTAATGAGATTTTTTGCGACTCTTTTCCGATTTAAATAAACATTAAAAAAATGAAAAATCGTTGAAAAGGTCAGGAAATGATTACGAAAAATCGCATTAAAATTTTTTCAGATTTTTCGATAAATTTCGTCAATTTTGAACATTTTTATAACAAAAATCCGACAAATCTCAAAAAATCGCACAAAGACAATTAAAATTCATACTTGCAACGGGCCGGGCTTTTCTCAGAATTTCCAGGGCCCGGCCCGGCCCGTCTCGGCCCGGGTTTTCAGGAACAAATTTTTCCTGTCTTTTCAAAAAAATTTTTCGGGGTAAACTGAAAAAATGGACGATTTTTCTGTCAAGTAAAAAACTTTTCAAGATAAAAGTGTCCATAAAAATAGTTTTTTTCACAAAAACATTCGAAAAAATGTCTTAAATTTCAAAAAAATTTTCTAATTTGGAAAACCCAGGCCCGCGGGCCGGGCCCAGATTTTGCAATTATGTTTAAATTATCGAGAAATCGGTGAAATTCATGAAGAAATTGTCAAAATCCGTTCGAAAATCGAAACAATAAGCCAGAAAATGATTATGAAAATTCCTTTAAAATTCCGCGGCCGGACCTAAGCTCCCTTCAATTTTGAGTCATTGAAATCAAGAAAAGTAATACTCGCTTACGTCAACACTGAACAAAGAAGCATTCTTTGTGATTTGGCTAGTCTCTGCTGGTTTCTCCTTGTATTCGTTTTATCGTAATCTCTGCTCCGAAGCACAGTCCGCCATGTATTCTGAAGAACGCACGCGGCCGCATTTTTGTGTCTGAAAATATATAATTCTTCGTAAACGACATCTTCAAGGAGCACTCACTCATTCGTTATATTATTCTCAGCAATAATATGGTTGACTCTTTTTTCGCATGTCGTTAAAATCAACTTCCTACTGATAAGAGCAATAAGGGTTGAAGAAAACAGTGTTCCCTGAAAGGGAAAGGAAGTGATAAAAAATGAGTGATAAGAAAAGAAGTGATAGGAATAAAAAGGGAACTAAACTCACTACTATGGCAGTCAACATTGCCAAGCCTCTTCCGCAGTATGTGCTCACTTGAACGTCACCATAACCGATTGAGAAGAAGGTCTGAAAAAAAGAAAGTTTGGAAGAGGGAACGAGAATTCTCGTATTTTAAGATTTAAGATTCATTGCTAATAACGAACATGAAATGCTGTATATTAGTATCGTACTACTTCTAATAAATGCAGTCTACTTTGAGCTTAATTATCTCGACTCCTGTAAAAGATAAAAAAGTGGTAAATTGACAAAATGTTTATCATAACATCAACAATTTTTTGTCAGTTGATTACTTTTTTATATCTCTTACAGGAACCTAGATATATGGGCTCAAAGTAGCAAGGGGGAGGGGTGGCATTCTATTAGAGGTGTTTACGGTAACCGATTAAGCTAAATGATCATGGAATAATACGGGCTTTTGAATTTCCGAATTTGAGATTAGAGAATTTGAAATATTGCGATTTTCTGAGTTTCTGAATTTCCGTATTTTAGAATTTTAGACCGAATTCGAAAGTTTGAAAGTTTGAGAGTTAGAATTTTAGAACTTCAGAATTTTTGAGTTTTTGAATTTTTGAGTTTTTGATTTTTTGAATTTTCAAAATTTTGAGTTGTTGAGTTTTGAGAATTTCTCAGCTTCTGAACTTCTAATATTCTGATATTCCATACCTTGAAATTATCAAATCCCGCAATTTTTTAATTCAAGTTTTTGAGAAGTTCAGACGTTTTTGGATGTTTTTTTCTCTGATAGAAGCCCATCCAAACTGCCAACTTCAAGCTCAATTATCTCGGTTCCTATAAGAGATATCAAAAATCTGTCGATAAGATGTTTCTGGTATTATGATAAACAATCTATCAGTTGAAAATTTTTTTAAATATCTTTCAAAGCAACCGATATAATTGAGCTCAAAGTTGATAGTTTGGGGGCCCTTCTACTAGAGGTTTACGGTATTTCTAATGAGGAACGCGAAATTTTTGTTTCAAATTTTATACAGACTCACTATGATCTCGAACCATAAATAATCGGCAAAGTGTTGAAAACCGCTAATTGACGGATAAGCATATCTGAAAATCCTTTTTTAAAAGGAATCACATTTTTCGAAAAAATGATTTTTCGAATGTTCTCCCAAACCTTTCACATTGAGTCAACATCCAAGAAACGACACACCAGAAGAGTAACGAAGCGATTGATAAGACAAAAAGTGGTCGTTCGTACATTTCACTTTTAAGAACAAATCGAAAATCAACTGCAATATGATTCAACGAAGCAATTGTTCTTGTGGCAGTGTCTTGATGTTGAGATGAGTGAAGAACCATATATCGACACACAATAAAAAATCGAAGAAACATTGGAAGAGTCAGAAGGACACTTATTGGAATATTCACATATTGACGGGTCTTTTCAGCTATAGCTGATAATTGTGGCCACGCGACGAAACCGGTTTCTGAGAAAAAAAGGAATAGACAATAAGAATTCATGATTACCTGGGATCGGACAAATTCCACATATTGCCACTTCTAGAAGGGTATTGAGCACTCGTTCAGATGTGATACCTACTCGCCAGTTTGATGTACCCGTTTCGACTAGTTGAATCTAAAAAATATAGGATCCTATATTTCTGTTATAAACATTAAAAAGGCTCACTTTGGTATCGATGAAATGATAAAAAAGTAGAAAAAAGAGTAGAGCAATCGTTGTGACAATTGCTGTGATTCTTAAGATGAATGATAAATCTTCAATATTCACATAATCCTCCAATACTCGCGTAGCTGTGAATTCAACATCCAGCATTGCTAGAATCAGACCACTAACTGCCAGAATCAAGGTGACATCACACAGTTTCACTTTTAGATCCGAAAGTCGTCGACGCATTTTCCACCGCTGACGGACCGTTTCCGCATTGCTCATCGCCACGCCGTATCGTTTTCCGTAGACTGATGGACGATTTTGACGAGCTCGATCCGCGTTTCCACTGTCACGAGAGTCCCAATCGGAGCCTGAAAGTTTGGGATGATTTTGGGAAAATTTGGGATCGGATGTTTCGGGACTGTTAAAAAAGACCGAATATAAAATGTAAACTTGAGTCTGAATTTGTGAACACCAGCTTTGTAAACTTTTTTGAATTCATTGGACTGCTGTACTCATCAAATTGGACTTTCTACCGTTTTTACTTTAATAGAATACCGCCCAAACCACCATCTTTGAGCCTGTGTATCTCGGTTTTCGTGAAATATGTCAATGGACTGATAAAATGTGTATCATAAAATCAAAAATGTTTTGACAGTTGATTACTTTTTCATATTTGTCGCAGATATCAAGATAATCGAGGTCAAAGTTGATTGTTTGGGTGGCCATCTATCAGAGGAAACACGGCACTTTTGAATTCATAGGATTTCTGTACTCGGCAAGTTTATTGAACTATCTAGTTTAGTTCAATTCCTGAATTTGACTCTTCAGAAAACTAGCAATAAGTTCACTAGAAATAATGATACATGTAAACTTCTCACAGCTTTTTTGAGCTACCAGAATTCCATTAGAGGAAAAACAATATTCCGGAGACTACCATAAACCTTGTAATAGAAAGGCCCATTAACTTTTAACTCAGATTTGACAGTGTGTGTGTGCTCTTCTATTACAGGTTTTCCAGTCATCCTATTATCAAATTTTCCTTTTTCAAAATACTATCAAACAGCTCAAACTTGACAGTATGGGGGGGGGGCCGTTCTATTACATGTCTTACGGCCATCCTATTAGCAAATAAACCGTTTTTTTTTCGAAATTCATCCTCACTTTTTTTATCATTTTTTACTCTTTTGCAACACAAGTGTTGATTTTTTTTCTTCCTAGTTGTTTGTGGACACACAGGCAAATATATTGACTGTTTACTCTATTCTAGCAAATTCTATTGCTAACATTAATTTGTAATTTTCCACAGGGTGATCGATCTATCATCTTTCATCTTGTATCTTTTTGTCTATGTAATTCTTCCTCACTCTTATTTTATCTAAGTAGAGGTCTATGTGTTTGCTGTTGACGCAGAATCTAAGGATGAGCAAGAGAACAATTTGAGGAGAAAAACATGAGGAATTCGAAATATCGGGAAATCGTTGGGGGGTCGAATTGATAAGATTTGAAAAATTGAGAGTTTGGATTGCAGAGAAAAATGTGTTCAACCTTCAAAAGAGGATAATTGAATTTTCATTTCTACGTAATCTAAAAAATCAGGTGGCAGATGAAAATGAATTAGGTGAATTTTCACACATCTTCTCTTTTTTGCTCAATTTTTCTCTCAAAAATGCAAAAAAAAACAAATGCCACAAACGACAAAAAAAGGAATGTTTGACCTGTTGACTTGAAATTTTAGCTCTATGACGAGACATCACGAAAAAATGAGTAGGAATAGAATATATGGTAGTAGTGGAGAAGAGAGTGTTAGAAAGATTTGAAATTCGAGATGGGCGCCAGCATTTTATATCGCATGCCATTTCCAAAGAACAGGAAGTGAATGGTGGTGGTGGGAAAATTTTAAGGGGAATCTAGAGATATTTTAGGAAGGAAAATTCTGGAATTCAATAACCTCCAGAGGAGTTAGAAAACTTTGGAGGAGGAAGGAAACGTTTGGGGATTCAAGAAAATTACAGTAAATGCTCTAAAATTGAGCTTAATTACCTTGGTTCCTATGAGAGATAGAGGTCAGTAGATAAAATATTGGTCGTAAAATTAGCAACATTTTATCAGCAGGCAAATTTTTGATATCTTTCAAAAGAACCGAGATAATTGAGATCAAAGAGAGAGTTCTGTACGGGATTCTTTTAGAGAAGTTACGGTAATGGGAAGTTGTCTTCTTTCTTTAAAAAACTTAGGATATAAGGAAAAAGGTAGAGCACTATTTAAATATATTTTCTCATTTGTCAAATTTGAAAAAAAGTGAATTCAAATGAGAAAAGTTAAAATTTCAGAAGGTTATCTATTCATGGGATTACTGTATTTTTTGGTGCAGATAATCGGAGCTGTGGAAGAGGAAAACCGATGGCCATGGCCGAAGGTCCCGCAACGTCAACTACAGTAACCTATAAATATTTTCATTTTCCGGATTTATTATCTCGATTTTCGTGCGTTTTCAGTCTTTTTTTTCAGGATCAGGAATTTTAATTTTCCTGAAAATTCGACGAAAAAAATTTCTAGAAAATCGGCAAAATTTAAAGAAAAATGAACGAATAGAAATCCGGAAAACAAAACTATTTCTAGGTTACTGGTTTTTTTCGCAGCTTTTTCTTCATCTATTTTCTGGAAAATTAATCAAAAAAAAAGCTAAATAATCAACTGAAAACGGTCGTAACACGAAAAAAAATAAATCCTGAAAATGAAAAACTATTTTTAGGTTATTGTAGTTGTCGCTGTGGGACCAAGAAAATGTAGCATTCCCGTTCAACTAAAAACTTGAGAATACTCAAAAATCAATAAATCTTAACCCAAGTATAAACTCAAAATAGGTTTAATCCGTTACCCACAAAATCCTAAAGAAGAAAAGACAAAAGAACAAAAGCATTTGGATTTTCTTCCAGAAAAGTATGTCTCTCCGAGAGTTCCCACGAGAACTCCTCCAATTTCTTTTTCTCTCCTACTGCTTCAGAAGTGGTTTTTTATTCGCGTGCCATCTGTGTTAGTAGCAGCTTTTTTCCTCGGAATACCTCATGATTAAAACATTTGGGAGAGGATGTGAGAGAAAATATAAATGATAAGTTTTGTTGGAAAAATTTTTTAGAACTTTTGAAGCTATTATAGCGGGTTGCAGAGAAGGACCTACATCATTAGAACTGAAAAAGAAGAGAGTAAAAGATAATTACAGGGATCAGGTCATTCAGAAAACTAGAAGAAAAAGAGAAAAAGAAGAATAAAAGAGTGCATTTCCGTTTTCCGAGTTGTTCCATTTTTCCCAAAGACAGGAAAAAAGAGCTATAAAAATGTAATGAAGATATGAGGAGATAAGTTTATGACACCTAAAACTCCACATGTTTTTCGTATTTTTGGTTTTGGAGATAGGAAAAATGGAATTTGGAGGAAATTGAAAAGCGAGATTGATACGAAGATATGGGTGGAAAAACCACTGAATGGGACCACATTTTCATGTCAAGATTCTAAGAAAATGGATTTTTGGATTGGCTTTTTGAAATGTTGGAAATCTGCAACCGTTGGAAAATACATATTTTCTACATCTAAAAAATTGCCCGAGAACGGATAAAAATTGCTAATTACGGTAGTTCGGACGAAGCCGCGGCCACCAGATTTTCTCTTCCACAGCTCCAATTTTTGAATACCAGTATAAAAAGTTTGGTGCGAATAAGCTTTCATTTTCAGATTTTTTCAAAGAGTAGACAGGTGATACTTTTCAAGCCAGAGGGAAAAAAAGAAAACTGGAAATCTTAGAGTCGAAAAAAAGTGCCTGGGTAATGTCACAAGCACTTTGTGAAATTTCAGATCTCATGATTCAGAAGCAAAAACGAAACCTTCTGAAAATTTCAGCAGCGTTTCTATGGATTTTCAAGAATGTGGAAAAAATTCTCATCTTTAAATTTCAAACTATTTTTTTGACCAGATTTCATCCTTCCCATTTTTCCGAGCTATCGAAATGTATGAAATACACCAGAAAATTTTGCAAGAAAAGAAAAAATGTAGCACCTGAAATAATATGGATGACTTGCAGGTGAAACATAATGAAAAAAGAAGAAGTGTGGGAGGAGAATCGAAAAGCAGAAGCTAGTAATGGGACTACTGTACCCAAAACTTTTTATCGAAATCTGAAATCCCCGATGGAAATTTTGAACGTTTTGATAACACTTATAAATATGCATTGATATACAAAAACACTGTTTATGAACAGGACCCTTTATACCGTGATTTAGAATTTAGTTACCGTAAACAGTCTAATAGAAGATCAAATTATACTTGCCCTTTGAGCTCAATTATCTCATTTCCTCAGGAAGATATCAAAAAGTGGTCAACAAAATGTTTATCAATATATCACCAATATTTTATCAGTATTGAGCTCAAAGTCGAGACTTTCTCTATTAGAGCAAGTTCGGTGAAATGAAGGAACAAACATCCAAAAACAATTCTGAAATTCCCAAACTCTCGAATTCAAAAATTCCGAAATTCAAAAATTCCAAATTTCAATGATTCGCTCAGAGTTTCTCAATACTTCAAGTTCTGAAATTCCAAAATTCTGAAACCCTGAAATTCTGGAATTGTGAGATCTTGAAATTGGGAAGTTCTGAAATTCGAAAATTTTGAGATTCGGAAATTCAAAAATTCCGAAATAAAAAATTCTTAAATTCTGAATTCCTGAAATATTGAAATATGGGAATTCGAGAATTCGGAAATTTAAACTCAGAGATTTATAATATGTATTTCAAGTTCTGGAATTCTCAAACTTTGAAATTCGGATTTTCAATATTAACGTTCAGTTGGCCATTTTTACAGGTTTTACAGTATCTCGGACCCCATGAAAGGTATCAAAAAATTGGTTTACTATCGGGATTCATTTTTTGCAGATCTACAATTTGTAACTTTTTGAACTCTGGCCATCATGCTCAAGTTGAAGCCCTACTTTTTCATTTATTGCTTTTTTGGAGCATCTACAAAACTTGAATGCGCCACAAAAATTCATCATAAAAAGATTGTATAGAAATTTTGAAAAAATTATAGTGCTAGGTGTTCAGATGGATCAGAGAGAGCTAAATGTAATTTCAAAGGTTTAAAAGTACATTTTAAGCTACAGGTCTAGCAAAAAATGCAGTTCAGCTCCGAATAGTTCAACTTGTTGACTTTGAAAGTTTTGAATAAAGAGGAAATGAAATCAATTTTCACAAGAAAAAAAAACATACCTTCTTCTTCAATCTCTTGCATCTTTTTTCTTGAATACAGAATTCGTCTTCTTCTTTTTCTTCTTTTTCGAATTTGTTCTCATTGACAAGCGGACTCTCGACAATTCATCTCA